ACGGTACGGGGGAGCGGCCCAAGAGCCTGGTCACGTGCCTCTGCTAGAGCGGCCGTTTGGAGAGGGGGAAGTGGGGGCGGGGGCAAGGAGGGTCTGAGGCAGGAGTTCAGTTCTGGGTGTGTGGGGGGAGGGGACAGAGTGGGGCAAGTCGCGGGGAGGAGAGAGAGGAGCGGGAGAGAGTGGGACAATGGGGTCGGGCCTGGAGGACAACTTGAAGGAGGGAGCTGTTCTGAGAATGAGGGAAGAGAGCAGGGGAGAAGGAGGCATGATTTGGTGGAAGGGGGAGCAGTGGTGACCAGGCTTGGGAAAGGGTGTAAGGAAATGGGTGGGTGTCTCGCTAGCAATTAGGTGTGACAGTTAATTGACTTATGTGGATTTGGGGGAGGAGAGGAAGGAGTAGGTGTAAAAAAACAAAACCCTGCTGTGTCTAAAAATTTCATGTTTTAATTTAATTTCTTGCCTCTATCATCTATTCCAGGTACTTCCCCTCGGTCCCCAAGGGACAATATGGTTCCATCACAGAATAACATTGTTACAGGACTGCAACTTTTCAAAACACCTGTGTTTTATTTGCAAAGATAATACCCGTTGCGGAGAGTCCCTCATGCCGCGTACATCGCATGAACTGAGCAGAGTAGCTACTGGTTAGGAGTAATGTTCTCAGCAGTTGGAAGCAGAAAAAGAAAAAGTCTGAACAGAGATCAAGCTCATGAGACACTTGCTGCCTGAACCCAGCACCTTTTGTAGTGGTTTCAGTGATACTCTCTCATCCAAGTACTAAGCAAGGCTTCCTGTTTTGCCTATAACATCTGCTTCAGTCATAATACAAAGTGGCTGTGTCTACACTGGCGCAATCTTACACCAAAGCTGCCGCTCTTGTGCAAACATTTGCTTGCCTGTCTACACTGGCCGTGTGTTCTTGCACAAGTACACTGATGTTCTCATGTATGAAATCAGTGCTTCTTGTGCAAGAATTACGACATTCCCGCTCAGGAATAAGCCCTTTTGACCAACTATTCTTGTGCAAGAGGCCAGTGTAGATAGGCAACATGAATTTCTTGAGCAAGAAAGCCCTATGGCTAAAATGGCCATCGGCACTTTCTTGGGCAAGAGAGCGTCCACACTGCCATAGATGCTCTTGTGCAAAAGCAGCGCTCACACATGGCAATGCGGAGCACCAATTGGGAAACATTGCATTATACTATACCAGTGGTAGCTACACCACCTTGCGCAGATAGGGTGAAATCTTGGCCCCATTGACGTCAGTGGAAATAAAACCCCATTGGCGTTGTTAGGGCCAGGATTTCACCTTTGGAAAAATTGTATCCTTTAGACCAGTGGTTCTCAAACTGGGGGCCGTGAATCACTAGTGAGTTGTGGTCGCCTTGCTGGTGGGCCGCAGCTCAAGCTCAGTCCTTTCTTTCCATCCCCCCACAGCGGGGAGCACCAGCGCCGGCTTCCTCCTGAGGAGAGAAGCCCAGAGCCTTCCAGCCAGATTCAGCTCATTGGGAAGAAGTAGAGTCACAAGCAGCTCTGTGTGCTGCTGCTCCCCCTTTCCCAGCTGGGGGAACAGCAGCACGTGGATGTACTGTTCCCATTGACTGGTTTCTAGCCAGTGGGAGGCCGAGCCTTGAACACAGTGCCTGGGGACAGAAGGGTGTGCAAAGGCAGATAAGTGCCCCCTTCCCCTTGTACCCAGACACTGCAACCCCACCTCCGCTGAGGCTCCATACTCCCAGCCTGCTCCTGCATCCTCCCCTCACTCAGACACTCTATCCCCATTCTATTCCTGCACCCACCTTTGCTTTTGCCACTTCCCCCCAGCCAGACACTCTACTCCCAGACTGCTCCTGCACCCTACTTCCCTCCCAGACTTGCACTCTCATCCCCCCTTGGACCCAACCTTCCACCCAGATTTTGTACTCCTATCTCTATATAACTCACTTGCAGCCCTGTCTCGTATACTGAACCCCTCTTTTTTGACCCCACCACAGAGCACAGTGGGGTCCACAAAATCAGAATCCCAGAAGAGTTCATCTGGCTTATGGGAAGCCCTGAAGCTCAGCCCTCCCTGTCCCTCCCCCACCCATGAGGCTGGAGTGCCAGGGGAGGGAGATGTTTCATTTGGAGGCAACATCAGTGAGATTTGGGGATTTTTGGAGAAGGTGGGTTGTTGTGTTTTTGTGGCTTTTTTTTTTTGCTTCTCATGCGTGTGGTTCCTGACTGATATTTCTGATTTTAGCCTTTGACACCAAAAAATTTCCCCACCCCTACCATAAATAAAGACAATATTGAAACCTTTTGTGTTGTACATAAATTAATATTTTATTTTGTTTAAAATGAAGTTTGGTAAACTAACATAAGAAAGTTAAAGCGCTTACGCTGTTTAATAATTTCGATTAGTATTTCCTTTCTTACTGGTTAAATTAAGCCATTCTCTTTAGAACCCCTCTGCTTTAGACATTAATTTTGTCAGTGTTGATTCACAATATTATTTCTGAATCATTTGATTGGTTGTGTAATGAGTAATGTAAAAATATCTTACAAAATGGTAGACACAGACTTAAAAAATTCCAACATGCTAGTGCTGTAGCAAAGTTATAGTTAAATTGATTAGACTACAGCCTCAGCAATATGAATGGCATGAGATAGCTTGATAATTTGTGAAAAGAGCGAGGAAGTGTTAATATTATAGAAAATTACATACTAGTCTAGCCAATAACTGTTTACAGTTGAATTGGGGTTATATATTATCTGGGTCAAGTACCTACCTTCCAACCTATGATGAGTAAAAGCAAACTACTAGTTCAAAGCCAAGGCAGGAGAGAGAGGAGCTGCGTTACCCAGATAGAAGGTGGAAATAAAGATGTGTCTTTATAGAAAGCAATTCCCACCAAACGCTTTATTTTCACTCTTGTCTCACAATTACTTTTTGGTGGTGAAAATAGACTAGTGATTGTCTGATAGGGATGTTAAATTGCAGTTAATCAGCTAATCAAGTAGCGCTCAGTCCAGCTCCAGGAGCTAACTGTGCTGTGGCTCTGCATTTTAAATGTAGCAAGAGACCAGCGGGCTTTCCTTGCCTGCAAATGGCAAACTGGAGCTGCAAGACCCTGTGGCTGCAGAGCCAGTAAATAAATGATCTGGAGCTGCCAGTTAGCAGGTTTCTCAGAGTGAATCCACAGACCACTTTGAGAAACACTGTCCTTTGTATTTAGACTTGCTTTCAGCAGGTTTGGATGAGACAAAACCTGATGAAAATGCTCGTGCCCTATCTATAACAATTATTGCTATAAATGGGGCAGTTCAATAGTGAGGTAGAACTGTCAAAAAAGGCTAATAGAGACAGCCTTTCTGAGATCATGTTTTCATCAATATCACTGTTGGTAAAACTAAGAAGAAAGGTTTTCCAGTTTTTGTGTGTGTGCGCCCAGCATGCTGGAAGGGACAGTTTTATAAAACGTGGCCTAGGCAGAATTCTGTGGTACTTCAACACAAACTGAAACTTAATGTCCCAGATTATAATAATTGACCTGCACACAACCTGTATGTAGAATGTTTATTTCTAAAGATGTGTAGATTGTTCCCCATTTTGCACTCCTATCTCTAACTCACTTGCAGCCTTGTCTTTCGAAAAAGCCAGGTATCGAAAGTATCTTTTGAAAAAGCCTCTTTCGAAAGAGGCTTGCAGTCTAGACGTAGCCTTAGAGACTAACAAAAATACATAGGATCATGAGCGTTTGTGGGTAAAACCCACTTCATCAGATGAGTTGGAGTGGAAATAACAATCTATAACAGCAAAAGTAGTACCTGTCAATTGTAGGACCCGTGTTAATGAAGCTAATTAAGTGGACTGCATGTGTCCCATTCATAGCTTTTGATATCCTACAATTGACAGGTACTACTTTTGCTGATTATCTATCTATCTATCTATCTATCTATCTATCTATCTATCTATCTATCTATCTATCTATCTATCTATCTATCTATCTATCTTCAATTCTGTTATTTCTACTCCAGCTCATCTGATGAAGTGGGTTTTACCCACAAAAACTCATGATCCTGGATGTTTTTGTTAATCTCAAAGGTGCCACACAACTACTTCTTGTTTCTAAAGTTACAGACTAACATGGCTATCCCTTTGAGATTTTTTGCTATTTAAGAGTGGCCATTAATTATGTTCAGAAGCTTCAGGGTAGCTGAGTTAGTCTGTACAGGAAAAAAAAAAGGTCTGGTAGCACTTTATAGACTAACAAAACATGTAGATGTGAGTAAATTAATTAGATGATTTATACAAATATTAAGAAGTGCAAACATCACAGCACAAAATTATTTTATAGCATATCCAATTATATGAGACTGAACTGGAGTCCAGTATAATGGCATTTGTATGTGCCGTAACTTTATTTCTGAAAACTTGGCCTGTTCAAGGCTTTTCCAGGTCTCTCTTGTCAGGCAGCATCCAGCAAACACAAGTTTCCAAGTTGGATAATAGACTTCCTGCCAAAAATAGCACCAGCTTGAACAATCTGCAGCCACATGTTCTAAGAAATAGAAAGCTCCACCCTGTGGAAACAAAACAATTTAGAAATATTTTAGAAACAAGGGGACTGATAATGCAATTTGCATAACTTTTTTCTCTGCTCTTAAAACTCATTTTCTCTTCTTTTCTCCCTCAGGAATTTTATTCATTTAGAATTGAGGCTTCTCTGCAAAGTTATCATCAAAGTTATCCTTTTCCCCAATTGCTCTTTTAATCCTGTATATTTCAAAATGAACAGAAAAGTACATATTTTTGCACAGGTGTTTAAAATCCATATCAATACTTTCTAAAAAGACAAAATATGTGTTTGTTTAAAATCTGATTTCTTTAGTTCTTTATCTTTGACAGTATTCAATACTTAGTGTTTTTGTTCGGAGTGAAACTACTAGGGCATGGTTTTCATAGTAGCCTGAGAGAGTGAGAGAGATGCTTAAATCCCATTAAAATGAATTGGGAATGTTAGGTCCCTTAAATCCCACCATTAAGGTTGAAATGCTAGCACAGGAATGGAGCAGTTGAGAATCAGAACCAGGGAGTTTTAACCAGGCTAGAATGCTTTTCAGAAAGTTGAGCAAATAAATACAAGGAATGGAATTAAAGGAATGCTTATTTCAATGGGATCAACCCTTCTTTTTGTATTTTAAGTGATTTGCCCAAGATGACATAGTGATTCGGCGCTATGCCATGTTCTGCCACTTAGCTCTCCTGACTAGCAGAACTGAGGTTGCCTGTCCATGGAATCATGCTGTCTAGAAATGCTCTATTTCACCTATAACATCCTAAAACCTTAAGCTTCACTGACTTACTATTTTATCCATATTTGGGGTAGACGGGAATAACTCATATTTTAATATCTCCTGTGTAAAACGTAAATACTTTGGGATGGGGGTAGTGTTAATTGATACAGGATTTTTCACTCTGCTGAATTGAGAACTTCCTTTACTTAAAAAAAAAAAAGAGAGAGAAAGAGAGAGAGAGAAAAGGTCCTTTGCAGGGGAAAAAAATCTTCCTTAAATTGCATGTGTCCCAATGAGTGGGATTTAAATGCCCAATACACAGGTGGCTAGGAATAATGGGGCAAAATAACCAGTATGCGCCTACTACTTTGTACCTCTTTGGCATGCAAAGTGGGTATAAATCCAATTTAATTGGGCAAATAAACAAGGTTTGTGGCAGTTTTGCATTTCCAGAAGCAAAAAACTGAATATCATTGTTGAATCTAGTCCAATGGCTGTAAAATATATTATAATATAGGACATATCTTTTCTTAAATACTCACGGGCCTGAGTACTCTCAAAACTTCTTTCAAGACCCTCTCTATGCTTTGCACTGAGCACAGGACCAGGGTGCAAACCACTGCATCCATAGAACTGTCTGCCACTTGATTCAAGTCCTCCCCTGGAACCACCAGGAAGCGTTGAAATTGGAGGTGCTGGTTCTGGGACATGCTCTTGGAGAGACCATGCTGGAAGTTGAGGTTTGTGTCAGTGCAGGTGATTTTGCAGCCAAATGGGTAGAATTGGAAGTTGGCACCAGTGCCAGTCCCAATCTCCAACAAAGTCAGTTCCCCTGAAGGTCCTGCAAATTCCTGCAAGTTGGAGAACAGCTCTTGTTTGTGCCTTGATGCCTTCCGGTTGTAACTTGCAGTTAACTTCTCTATGAAAAAGGGAAAGAATATCTTCTTGCAGAATGGATCCCATATACCTAGGAATGATAGCAGGTATATGGGCAGAGCAAGCAGCTGCACGCAAACCCGGAGAAACAGAATCCCTGCCTTTGCCATTCTCACTTCTCAGTGGGCTCTGCCTTGAGAAGAGCTTTCTTATTTAGGCAGAATGCAGAGTGAGGCTATGAAGTGGCTCTGTTTGCTCTTGGGATTATTTTCTGCTCTTTGTACTGAGCTAGATGTCTCCAGTGGGCTTCTACAGCTAGCTTCAAAATCCAGTGCAAATGTCCTGGCTGAAATGTGAGGAAAAAGAGACCAGCCGCTTCCGTAAGAACAACTGCCACAGGCTGGAAGCTGCAGTATGGAACTTGATTGATGCAGCCACTGCGAATCCCTAAAAAGCTTAATGTTTAACCAGTTTCATGTTAAGTGTCACACCTCTCTTAAAGCAGCCCTGTATAATTTTCAGTGTTATGCCAGAGACGTCCTGTCCATAGGAAGGCTTGGGGCAATCACCCCAGGCCCTCTGCTTTTGGGGGGGGAGGGACATGCAAGGCTCAGATTGCATCAGGGTCCTAGTGGGCATTGTGGGGCCAGCTGCAGGGATTGAGCCAACCTCTACACTCACTAGCTGGGGGAAGTGGAGTGAGCCAGCCCCGGTCTACTTCCCTTCCTCAGCTCCCACCCATGTCTTTCATGGGGAGGGAATTTTGGGGAAGGACTGCAGCTTGCTCCCCCACACTTATTGGCAGTGGGATGCAGCTGGGACCTAGGGCAGGGGAGTGGGCTGGGGCCAGGTTGCTCC